CATACTTTTTAAATCAAGGTAAACATAGCAAGGATTCAATTTCATGTGCAATCCTCTTTGTCTCTTTGTATATGGAACTGCTCATGTTTGTGGGTATTTGTCAAATTCACAATAACAAAAAAAAAACTTTTCACAAAAAGGTTATTTATGTTCTAAAGATTTATTCTAAAAGTCTAGTTATATGACCTTAGGTTACTAAGATACTCAATAAGTGGTTACGTGATTTTTTTTTTTGTCTAAAGCAATACGTAGATAATTTTCCAGTACTATGGAAACACTTGCAAGAAGAGTTTCACTCTTGAGCCAAATTATGACATCTGGCCATACACACACACACACACACACACACACACACACACACACACACACACACATATACATACACATATATATATATAAACATATATATATATATATATATATATATATATATATATATATATATATATATATATTTGACCTACTGTTCTGTATAAGAAACTCCATTTAAAAGTTCAGTGCAGATTTATGACTAAACCAAAAACACTGATATCTAAAGGTATGTAATGAAGTGTTTGGAATAAATTGTATTTACTCTAGTACACACTAGAAGACACTCTAGAAGTCAAAGGTCCTTTGTTATCTGATTTCTCACTAGTTTAAGAACACTGAAGGCAGCATGTTCAAATCTTGAGAAAAGGGATAAGCCAGAAAGCAACAGATAATTCATGGATCTTTTGAGTCTGAAGGGATCAAAATAATCATTTAGTCTATCATTTCGTCTAAATCCCTTCTCTATTGGACTGGGGAAACTGAAGTCCATAGAGATTAAGCACCCAAAATCACACAGGTAGGGAGTATTCTGAATTCAGAAGCCAGCACTTAAGCTTCTGACTTCAAGTACCACATTTCTTCCTGTGGAATACATTGCAGTTTTGCACCCTTTGAAATGGAGGTAAGAAAAGTAGTAGCTAAGCCAAGATGGCGGAGTAAAAGCAATGAGCTCTCCCCCAAACCCCTCCAAATACCTGTAAAAAATGGTTCTAGACAAATTCTAAAGCAGCAGAATTCACAAAAAGACAGAGAGAAAGAAATTTCCAGCCCAAGACAAGGTGGTTGATGGGAAAGGTCTGTTGTGACAGTCTGGGAGGGGAGCACCGTTCAGTGTGGACCTCACAGGAAAAGACCAGGCCTCAGGGGACTGAATCACTAGTAGCTGTAATGGTTTCCAGACTTCTCAACCCACAGACGCCAAAGACAACTTAGAAGATCAGCGGGAAAGTTCTGTTGGACCTGGATGAGAGAGGAGCATGGTCCAGCCCCAGTCCTGGCACAGCCCCAGGGCAGTGGCTGCTTCTGGAGTTGTTGGCCCACAGACAGTGTGGGGACAAAGTGGCTGATCAGAGGGGGATTGCAGGGATCTCTTTGCTGGTGCTAAAGCAGGATTCTCTTGCATGGCCTGCGCTTGGATCTAGATCTCAGTCCTGGATGGAGGTCCTAGGCGAGGAAGAGTGCTGGCATAGCAGAACTTGTGGTGGCAGTGAAGAAGGAATCCTTCTCACAGCTCCAAGGCAAAAAAGAGAGCTTATGGTCAGTCATAGACCAGAGCACAGGCCAAGAAAGGAGTAAACATCTCTCCTTTGATCATACCACCTTGGAAGAACTGAAAATTTACAGGTTCCTAGAAGTATCTCTGAAAACAGCTACACAAAATCCTGAAGCTTGGGACAGCACACCTTCCACACTGTAAGCAGACCCCTACCTTAACAAAGAGGGAAAAGTCAAGTATTGGTTGGGAACATGAGTAAACAGCATAAAAAAATCTCAGACTATAGAATCCTACTTTGATGACAAAGAAGATCAAAACGTACAACCAGAAGAAGACAACAAAGTCAAACCTCCTACATCCAAAGACTCCAAGAAAAATATGAATTGGTCCCAGGCCATGGAAGAGCTGAAAAAGTATTTTGAGAAGCGAGTAAGAAAAGTAGAGGGAAAAATGGGAAGAAAAATGAGTGATGCAAGAAAATCATGAAAAACAAGTCAACAGCTTGCTAAAGGAGACCCAAAAAATACTGAAGAAAATAACATCTTAAAAAATAGACTAACCTAAATGGCAAAAGAGGTCCAAAAAGCCAATGAGGAGAAGAGTGCCCTAAAAAGCAAAATTGGCCAAATGGAAAAGGAAGTCCAAAAGCTCACTGAAAAAAATGATTCCTTAAAAATTAGAGTGGAACAAATAGAAGCTAATGAATCCATGAAAAATCAAGAAATTATAGAACAAAACCAAAAGAATGAAAAATAGTGTGAACTATCTTATTGGAAAACCAACTGACCTTGAAAATAGAACCAGGAATGATAACTTAAAAATTATTGGACTACCTGCAAGCCAAGATCAAAAAAAGAGTCTAGATATCATCTTTAAAGAAATTATTAAGGAAAACTGCCCTGATATTCTTGAACCACAGGGTAAAATAGAAATTGAAAGACTCCACTGATCACCTCCTGAAAGAAATCCCAAAAGGAAAACTCCCAGGAATATTATAGCCAAATTCCAGAGTTCCCAGGTCAAGGAGAAAATATTGCAAGTAGCCAGAGAGAACCAATTCCAGTATTGTGGAAACACAATCAGGATAACACAAGACTTAGCAGCTTCTACATTAAGGAATCAGAGGGCTTGGAATATGATATTCAAGAGGTCAAAGGAACTAGGATTACAAGTAAGAATTACCTACCCAGCAAAACTGAGTGTAATCAATGAGGGGAAAAATTGACATTCAATAACATAGAGGAATTTAATACATTCTTGAGAAGCTGGAGCTAAATAGAAAAACTGGATAGATAGAGAGAGAGAGATAGAGAGAGAGACAGACAGACAGATAGACACACAGATGGCACAGGATGAGTTGAATATGAAGGGACAATATCTAAAAACGAAAATTAAAGGGTGAGACAGTAATGTACTGGGAGAAGGAGAAAGAGAGAGGTAGAATGATCTCACATAAAACAAAAAAGAAAAAGTTTTTACAGTGGAAGGGAAGTGGGGAGAGGTGAGAGGGAATGAGTGAATCTTACTCTCATCATATTTGGCTTAAGGAGGGAATAACTCTCATCATATTTGGCTTAAGGAGGGAATAACATACACACTTAGTTGGGTATGGAAAGCTATCTTACCCTACAGGAAAATAGGGGAAAAGGGGATAAGAGAGAGAGGATGATTGAAGGGAGGGCAGATGGATGGAGGGAGTAATCAGAAGCAAACACTTTTGAGGAGGGTCAGGGTCAAAGGAGAGAATAGAATAAATGGGGGTGGGTGGGAGAGGATGAATGGAAATATAGTTAGTTTTTCACAACATGACTATTATGGAAGTGTTTTGCATGACTACACATGTATAACCTATATCGAGTTGCTTGCGTTTTCAGTGAAGATAGATGGGGAGGAAGGAAGCAAATGCTTTTTTCAATGGAAAGTCAAATACTGAAGCTAAAGCTTAAAATATGTATGATGAGAAGACAGGACTCATTGGAAAAACCCCAAAGATTGGCAAAGATTGAAGGCAAAATGAAAAGGGGTTCACAGAGGATGAGATAAATAGATGGACAGACTTTGGGAGATAGTGGAGGATAGAAGTACCTGGCATGGGGTCATAAAGAGTTGGACACGACTAAACGACTGAACGACAATAGCAACGGACCCTAATAACTTTAAGCTATTTTGCTATATCTCTCTTTTCTCAGTCAAACTGAGAAAAAGCTGTCTATACTCATAGCCTCTACTTTCTCTCCTCTCATTCACTATTAAATCCTTTGCAATGTGGCTTCTGGTTGTGTTACTCAACTGAAGCTTCTCTCTTCAAAGTTGCCATTGATTTCACAATTGCAAGAAAGTATTTTCTTGTTTCTCATCCTTCTTGACTTCCCCCTACTGCATTTGACCTTGTTTGCCACCCCCTCCTCCTGGATGCTGTCTGCTCTCGGGATTTCATGACACTAACCTCTCTAGGATCTGCTCCAATCTCTTTATTCCTTCTCAGTCTCCTTTGCTGGCTCACCATGACCTCTATGCCCTTTAACAATGGATATTCTTTAGACTCTATCCTTGGTCTTATTATCTTTTTTATGCATATTCTCTCAGTAGCCTTATAAGTTTTCATAGATTTAATTATCATCTCCATGAAAATACCTCCCTGATCAATATATCCAGTCCTATCTCCCCCGTGAGCTTCAATCTCACATCACCAACTGCCTGTTGAATATTTCAAACTAGATGCCCCAGAGATACCTCAAATTCAACATGTTCAAAAGAGAACTTACCTTTTCTTCCCCCAAATCACTTCTCTTTCAAATGTCCCCATTTCTGTAGAAAGACCACCATGCTTCTCATCTCTCAAGTTTATATATCTGACATCATGCTTGAATTCTAGCCTTTTGTCACGTCATATATCCAATCATTTGCCAAATCTTTCATATCTGATCATATCATTCCCCTCCTAAACAAACCCCAGTGGTTCCTCTAAGTTATTATATAAACTCTATTTGGCTTTGAAAGTCTTTCTAGCTTCATTGGATATCACTCTCCCTCCTACACTGTGATCCAAACAAACTGTCTTTCTGTCTGTTCCTCACACATAGCATTCCAGCTCCATTCTCCTTATAGAATCACTCTTTTATTCGTCAACCATCACTCAACTGCCACTTTCCACACGAAGTGTTTCCTGATCATCCTAACTGTTAGCGCCTTCTCTTTCTAAATATTTTATTTTTAACCACCTATTATTTATCTGTATTTATTCCATATTTATTCTATATATATTTATGTATGTACTTCTTGTTTCCCACTTAGAACCCAAGCTAGAATAAGGATTATTTAATTCTTTGTATTTGTATCTTGAAGGCCTAGCAGAATGCTGGCACACAGTAGACACTTAATAAATGATCACTGATGGAGCTTTGCTTTCCCTCCTAGAAGCCTCCACAGTCTTCATGATCTGAAGGTGCAAAGACTGAAGAATGGTACTTACTATTGTTTTGTGTCTGAAAAACAGCATCACCCATGCCCCAGAAGGCAGCCAAAAAGAAGAAGACAACCTTCTGAGAGGGATGAGGTTTCCACAGCAAGAGGAAAATCATGCAGGACAGGTGTATCATTGAACCTATGAGTTTGAAGAGAAAAGGAAAAGGAAACAAATGACTACTCTAAATGAGTGAAAGAACAGGAAGTGGGATTTAGATACACAGAAGGAATTCTTTTGCTGATCTTCTGGCTTCCTTGATTTGAATGCTGTTTCCTTAAAATATCCCAAAAGTGTTTTCTTCGCATAAGTTTATATGCAGGTTGGTGTGCACCTACTTCAATGAGTCTAAACTGGAACTTGGACTTATATAAGTCTCCTTTTTGTTCTAAGACAAAGCACAGATGCTACTGGGATGAAGAATTTCTTATCAATACAAACCTACCCTAGAGTTTCTAGGTCTTCTTCAGGCATCCACAAATTTTTTTTCTTCCTTTTATTTATGCTTTTCTTTGTACTGCAAGCACTTATAAAGTGGTCTGACACACAGTAATGATAGGAAAGGTCTAACTGATAGATACACTGGCTATGAAGACTAAACTGAAAATGTCAAAACAGGGGAAACTTGGGTCCAAGACAGTCAATGGGTTACTAAAGAACAGACCCATCAGAAGCAGTATATTCTATGATTTTAGGACCTAGGTCAGTTGCCAGTATTAGAAGTCTGAAGGAGGAAAACAAAGGTAAGTTAACTACTGGGGACAGAGAAAAGCTTTCTAAATCGAAGGTTCTTTCCCCTACATCATTCTGTCTCACAATGTTCCTGACGGTTGTGACTTCCACACTATGTCAACCTCATGGCTTCCAGCTCATAAGGCACTTTCTGTTTCTCTTTAAAATGTAATAAGCATATATTTGGAACAGGAAAGTACCTGTCCACATGCCTTACTGATGAATTTCTCCATCCTCCAATTCTTTCAGGCCTTGATTGGATATGTTTCCAATTTCATAGTTCAAAATCCTCATTTATTATCATTCATATTGAACTCTGTCCTTTTCCCTCTTGATGCTCAAGACAAAAGACTATTAAAATGATGGATAGACTAAAATCTATCAAATTTGAAGCCTTAGATAATGAGTAAAGAAAGTATACTGTAGCATAGCAGGCTGGGAAGGAAGCCTACCAACAATTGTAGGCATGGCAGCAGCAGTAAATAGACTTAGTAATAATCTTAATAATGATGTCTTAATAAATGAGTCTTTTCCCATATTAGCCTTCTAATTTCCACACTGATATGCAAAAAAGCAAAAAAAATGGGAAAAGATCCTATATTCAGAGCAAGAAGACTGTTTTTGGTGAAATCCTCACTCTACTTACTATCTCTGTGACTTTTAGATAAGTAAATCACTTCACCTCTTAGGCCTCAGTTTCTTTATCTATAAAATAAAAGGATTCAGGTAGGTAGTTTTTAAAGGTTCCTCCCTGCTAGACATCCCCCAAGTTCACCTCTAGAGTTCTCCTCAGTTTTACTGGGGTTCTATAGCATAATCCCACAGTCATATATCATCAGTGTTATTTGGGTTAATTTTTTTTTTCTATTCTGCGCTTACAAGCTGTTCCCCTAGTGTTGGCCCACCATCTGGGAAGCGTGTGCTATTGACCATGAAATAGATCATGAATACCTCTGAGTGCTTCTGTAAGGATCAAATGAGCTAGTTGATATTTGTAAAGTGCATTGGGGAAAAGCGTAATTTCATATTGAATAACAAAGTACATATTCTGTTGATAGAATAATCATAATATAATAAGTAACATTTATAGGTGCCTAATAATATATGTGTGCATATAAGTACGTATATGTAGATAAAGTAAACAACATCCCTGAATGATAGTCTATGAAGAGTCAGAGTTGGATGGGACCTTCGCTGTGATTTAGTCCAGAGGTGTCAAACACAGGGCCTGTGGGCCATGAGCCCTCAGTACTCCCAAGTGCTGGGGAATCAGATTAAAATGTAATTGGGAAATACTTATCAAAATAAATAAAAATACAGTGGAACATAGATGATGTTAATATGTGGTTTTCTAAGTCAATATGATACTACAGGGATCCTTATGTACAGTTTAATGATCCCCATTTGTATTTGAGTTTGACACTAGTGACTTTACCTAAAGCCCTCATTTTATTGCTGAGAAAATCAAGGACCAGAGGAAAGACAATAAAAGTAACTTCTTCCTAGTTACATAAATAGTAAAGGACCCAACAAGCAGCTAAATCTAGGCCTAATTCTAGGACCAAAGCTCTTTCCCTACCATGCAGCACAATGAATTAGAAACATTATGTTCAGATAGAAAAGATAGCAACTTATTGCTATTAACAGATAGATGGATGAGTAAGTGGATAGATAGATAGATAGATAGACAGACAGACAGATAGATAGATACAAACCTATTGCATACAAAACTTTTCTGCCAGTGTACTGGGAGAGTTTTCCAAACATCAAAGAACAAAGGGAAGTGGCACCCGAAAAGCAGATCATCACGAACCCAACATTGTGTATCCCCAGGGCACAGGTGACATATGACTGAAGAGAAAAGAGGCAAATGTTAAAACGATGTTTGCACTCATGACTGTTCTTCTTTATGGGTAGGGACTGAACCTGTCATTTTATGGCTACAAAGAAGATCCAGATGGAAACTTGACCATTTCAGCCTAGCTCTTTCTCCATAACTGACAGTCCTACAGAGTTACCTAGATTCCTGAGACATTAAATGATTTGCCCAGGATCACACAGCCAGGATGTGTCAGAAGTGGGATTTGAATCCAGATCTTCCTTATTCCAAGGCCAGATTTAGCCATTTTATTGCTTCCGAATTGTCACTGTTTGAGAATTAAACTTTTTCAAGAGGAAATCTAAATCATGCTCTAACTCATTCTGCTATTTGATGGATGGCATGCTAACTTAGCCTGAAATTTTGTTTCATCATTTAGGTCCTTAAAGGAAAATGTTCATCTTTGCATGTGAAATCTTTTTGGATCCAAAGGAAATGAACTGAATTTAGGGTTCATTGACAAAATTCAACCCAATTATCCCTCTATGAATAAATCCACTTTATTTTCTTCAGGAATTACGCTACTAAAAATGATTGATGAAGTTGATCGTTACTTACAGCCTTGATTACTGAGGAAGGGAGAGAAGGCAATAAGCATTTGCTTCCTATGTGTCAGACACTGTGATAAACACTCGCAAAATTTACTTCATTTGATCCTCATAACAACCCTATTAGAAAAGTGCTATCATTATCCCCATTTTTCACTTGAAGAAACTGAGGCAGGAAGAGGTTAAATGACTTTGGAAGTGTCTGAAGCTAGATTTGTACTCAGGTTTTTCTGTCTCCAGGCCTAGCACTGTACTGTGTCACCTAGCTGCCTTCCATGGGGATGATGAAGGAAGGTGATAAAAATGAGAAAAGCCTCAAAGCAAATGGCAGGCAGAAAATGTTTCTTATTTGGGTAAATGTAAAAGATTTTACTCAAGCTCCTTTGTACGTGTTCCAACTTCCCTCATCCTCGGTCTCCAAACTACATCTTAGCCAAGGAAATAAAGTCAAGGAAGACACTGAAGAGTGGATCTTAGGGTATGGAAAACAGTAATGGTCTGTTAGGCCATGGCTAAGTTCATCCTTGCATAGAACGCACTACCAGAGCCTGATATACTGCAATTGTCCTGACCATGAACAATAAAATTAGCCAAGATGAGACTGGTGGTCCTTCTAGTTTCCTCAATAATTCCTTTCTAAACTTTAATTGCTAAGTTTTATTGGTGTTGTTTGCAAATGGGCAATAACATTTTATTACTGACTAATACTCCCAAGTCTTACAGGGAGCCATACTGGGGAAAGAATATATTTTAACATGAATAAGGACTCAACTATAAGATCTTGCTCAGAGACTCACACACACACACACACACACACACACACACACACACACACACACACAGAAATTGATTGTCATTGACTATAGGAAAAGCGGCAGGCTTGGGCTTGGCAAAAAGAAGTTTGGATTTAGAGTCAGGAAACACCTTGGTTTAGATCCAGTTTCATACATTTATTTGTTATCTGGGCCAGTCTTTTAGCCAACTGTGCATACCTGAAAATAAGATGGTAGGGATAGTAATACCTGTAGTATTTGAACCATATAAGTGCTGTGAGAATTAGGTGGACTCACAATCACATAATTTAAGTTGAAAGTCCAAACTTGATCTGAAAGACAATCCATGACCTTCAAGGAGGGGACTCCTGGGATAGTCGATATCATTTTGAGATAGCTCTCATATGCTCACATGAAGCATAAATTTGTCTCTTTGCAACTCAAATTCATTGATTCTAGTTTTAACCTTTGAGGACAAACAGAACAAAACTAATCCTTCTTCCAAGAGACTGGCCTTCAAATACTTGAATAAACTATCACACCCCTCATTTGACATTTGACATTGAAGACTCACAATAGGCCCTGTGTCTGCCCTGTCTCCCAGCAGAATCCACTTACATCATTGGTAGAAATAGCACACACAACATCACCATTAGTTATACACACTAACATATGATTTTCATTTTCTCCCATACCTTTGTATAGTCACCAGAAATGAATCCTTGCTCGAATCCACTATACATTGTCAGAGGAATGAGGAAACATTGCCGTTTATCTTTAAGATGTTGAAAAGTTGCCAGGAAACGTGTCCATGCAGGAATATTTTTTTCTTCTTCATTTTCTTCTGAATCATTTGGAAGTTGACCAAGAAATACAGCTATCAATAATACTGCCAAAATGCCACTTCCTATGGGGACAAAAAGTACCTGATGTGACAAGTATGATCAAAATGTGGCTTTTTTGTTAAACTTTTTGGCCGTCACAGAATATTAGAGCCATGATTTTGGAACAAGTGGATTCTTTCTAGAGTCTAATAGCAAATGGAGCAACCTGGAGATATGTAAACATCTGATAACATACAGAAACATAATGAATACAAACCTGAACAGCTCTTTGCCAGGGAATTTCCAATGAGTTCCCCATTACAAGAAGTCTTCAAATTGGAGGCTGGGTGTGAACTCCTTGGAGAGGTTATAGAAGCAGTTTATGATTAAGGGAGAAATTGGGCTCTTCCATCTCCAACATTTTAGTAATCCGTGGGATTATTTTTCTTTATCTTATACTTACTCATATTGAAATATATTTAGTCTTTTTCTTTTTCACTCTGTGTTTGTATATGTGTATTTATACACAGAGAGAGAATATATACAGATGCATATATATGTATACAATATATATATACATATTATAGATCTATACAATATATTCATACATTATATGATTATACATATATATCCTATGTACGTACATATATATATATATATATATATATATAATATATAATATATGTATATGTATGTAAATCATTCTTCCAATTTGTCCCAATAGGTTTCACATTTCACTACTTGGAAAAGCCATGGTATAAAAGTTTTCAGATAACTGAAAACTAGATTTTATTGATTATGGCCTCTTTGAGGACATTCATAAAGTTCAATATGACCAGTCTCAGCAATGGTCTCTGAGGACCCTCATTTTTAAACACTGCTTCATTTAGAGCAATTCTCATTCCTTCCTATTCTTTGTTTCTTGTGGCTGAACCAGTTAGTGAGATTCCCATGAGCAAAAATATCTTTACCACCTGCCCTTAACTCCACGTCCTTGCACAAATTATGTTAATTTGATGGTGTTAGTGAATTAGAAGGGAATCTTATTGAGGACTATTTGGAAGTCTCAAGAGATTATGCTCACTCTCATTTCATTGATCTCTCCTCTTTGTAATACAAAGGTATTATATTTTACTAGTTGTGGTATGGAAAGGTTTCTTTTAGTCCATATCCCCAAGTCACTCATACTGTACTCTGTCATAGATTCTTAATGACTATAGTATTTTTCTAATTCAGCTACATTAGCTGATTTCTCTTTATAGAATCACTATTGAGATATATTTCTCTGATCTCCATCTATTGCATAAGATTCTTTTCTCATGGTTCTATCATGTTATTAGGATCTTTACTTTCAAAATTGCTTAATAGGATATTGAAACATTCCCATGAAGGGATGTTACATATAAATATATGGAGTCCCAGACCTGTCTTGCTTCTAGGTAAAGTTTAGTTCCCAGAACAACTCAAGAGAGGTGAGAATTAAAAAATGGCCAAAAAGAGAAAAAAATACATCATATACTTTCCAAAATGGCTCCTTGAAAGAGACTCTAATAGAAAGACAAGGTTTTAGGAGCCTGAAATTTTTTTTTCTCATGATCGCATACCCTTTATTTTTTCCATTTTTCTGTGTCCTACTATATTGTGTTAGTTTTTCCTTAACACTGTTTTTTATCATAAATATATGTATTTTCAGGGAATTTGATGGCTCAAATTAACACAATAATAGTTTCTTTATATTTTATGTGTACTATTTCTATTTTGTACTTTTAAACTTGAAAAGTCAATAGGTCACTGGATTTTTCTAATCTAAGCCAATTGGTGGCCTATGGTTATCCAACATTTTTTGTTGTCTATAAAGCAGACCAGAAGAGGCCATCAGAGAAGGTGTTAAAATTGGGGTGTGGGGATATGCTCATCAAGCAAAAGCAAAGTCACAGTGATTCATTTATGTGAAGGAAAGTACACACAGAGGGCTGGAAAACAATTTAGAGTTCAAAGTATCCTAGTTCTAGAACTGGAAGGTACTGTTGAGATGTCCAGTCCACTCATTTTACAGATGAGAAAACTGAGGTCTAGAGAACTGGGGATTTCCCTAGCTTCCACTAACTAGCTAGGGGAAGAAGTAAGATTAAAACTAAATCCGGCAATGCAGCCTCATCCCATGTTTTTATTCTTGTGCCACATTGCCTGGTGGATACTACGAAAAACAAAACAAAACAAAAACCTTTTGCACAAAACATCTGGGAATCACTAGAATATGACCTCTTCCTTATACATCTCTTTTATGTGATTGGCACAGAAGGATAGTATCAAAGATGCCACCTTCAGGCAGAGAGATCAGCCAAATATGACCTTAGATTTTGTTCACACCATTTGTCCTTGACTGCGTATCTAGAGATTTCAGAACTTACTGGAATTAGAACTGGATCTTAGAATGACTGGTAAATTATTGTCTTACCACTCTATGTTTGAATTATGCAACCTTATAAATGAAACATGGCTACTATTTCCTGCGTGTGAGGGTAATTTATCTTCTCTTGCTACACCTTCTAATCTCAGACACAAGCGGGACCTCAGAAATACTGTCTCACAAAATCTAGGTAAGTACTGCCTGTGAGTTGACTCTTAATCAATAACTCCCAACCTCTCATCATTTGAATTGCTTATCACAGTTCTCTGGATCCTGTGAACACCAGGTAGGCAAGTGGGGATCTACAGAGTAACTTTTTCTGGGGACATAAAAGATAAAATGCTTCCATGGGCAAGAGCCCTAGATGCTGGAAGGAACACTGCCTCAGAACACCGTAGGGAATGGACACAACCACCATACGCTATAGGGCTGAAATTCCATGAAAGATTGGCTTTATATATGAGCTTCTTCTGGGGCCACAGGAAGACCACCACCAACTATGACAGCTTCGGTTCACTGAACCTCTCACCCCTGTTATCCTATAAATCTTATTGCCAATGCACTGGGATAGGAGTATGTCTAACTTCACTTGAAAAAGACCTACCAACACAAACCAGCCACTCACAGCATATCAGATCTCTTCTAGGAGAGAAATTATATAAAGTTGGGGGGGGTAGCCTTTCCTGAGTAAACACAAGAAAGAGGAAGAGAATTTCAGTTGCCCACACTTCCTTACCATTGACTACTAAATGGTATTTACTCTAGACACATACCAGTATAGATACCCAGCAGGGTGTAGATTAAATCATTTCCTGGGTGCTTAGTACTGTTTGTAGCTGTGCTGGTTTTCATACAATCATTTGCTCCACAAAAAAGCAGTTGTTCTTTTGTGATTTCTCCTGTAAAACAAGAATATAAACACATTAGCATACTCATTGCTGTCCCAACGGTCTCAAATATTAAACAGAGGAGTAAATCTCTAGAATCCAGCAATGATAGATTATGACCCTGTGTGGCCATTGACACCAAGATTTCCAAAATCTTCTCACATAGTTTGCACTTAAAAATGATCATTAGGTTGTCACTGGAGTTCTCCTATGATGCTTTCTCATGGTTTGAAGATGACCCTCAAAGACTATGCCAACCAACTGGAAACTCTGGCACCTCCTCCCAAGTACTGCCCAGAAGTCATCTCTTATCAGCAATTCCCTCATCATCTGAGATGGTTCATCTCCAAATATGGGACAAGTGATAGACTGCTTATTATCTGAGGACCATCCTAGCTATGTCTGGGGAGCTTTATCCCCATACAACTCTCTGGAGTTTATCCTGCATGCACAGTCTCTCCTCTGGTTCAAGACTTAGAAGACAGGGATCCAAGGTTTTAGTTGAAGAATAGTTTGTAGAGATGGATAACAACATGACCATCATGTAAACAAATGTTTTGAAAATGGTACCATGTAGCAGGACATCTCTGAGTAAAGGCCAATATGATTTCTGCTTTCTTTTTCACTTGGAGGTTTCTAGATACATATGTAGTGTGTCTATTGGGTCCTCAAGCATTGGAAATAGAACACAGTAAAAAACAACTGGATTTGGAGTCAGAGGACCTGGATTGAATCCTGGTTGTAGCATTTCCTACCTGCGTAACCTCAAGAAAATTATTTCACCTCTCCAGGGCCCAGTTGGTTCATCTATTTTTAAGGCTGAGAGGGAGCTTGGAGGGTGTCTTCTGGTTCTAAATCTATGATCATCTTCAAAAGGTTCAGAAATTTATTTTGCTAAGTGATTCAAACTATAATTTTCTCCATAAGATTTTAAGACCCAGAATTTAAAATAAATTTTGGAATTATTTCTGAATAGTCAGTATCACAATAGAAAAAGTGATGAATTTGGAGTCAGAAACATTTGGGTTCACATTTGGTCTTAGATGCTTACTAATTGTATTACCCTGGGCAGATCATTTAATCTCTGTCCACCTCAGTTTCCTCATTTGTAAAAATAGAGATAAAAATAGCACCTATCTCCCAGGCTAGTTGTGATGATAAAATGAGATATTTGCAAAGAATTTTGCAAATCTTAAAGTACTATGCATGTGTGTGTGTGTTTGTGTGTGTGTATGTGAGTGTATTTAGGTGGAAAAATGGTATAGCAGAGATACTGAGGGAAGTGGGTTTTCTCTTCTTACTTAGATTTCCTATTGTAGTGAACTCTCACTCCCTCTAATTCTTTTTAACTCATACATCCAATGGTTTTTTCTCAATCCACTAATTCCTAGGTGGTCAATTAACCTTTTGAATACCTCTAATTGTCTGACATTTGACAACTTCTACCCATTCCTCTCAGCTCTTTCCTCTGTTTCTTTTTCATTTTTTTTTTTTTGGCAAAGCAATAGGGTTAAGTGACTTGTCCAGGGTCACATAGCTAGTAAGTATCAAGTGTCTGAGGCTGGATTTGAACTCAGGTCCTCTTGACTCCAGGGTCAGTGCTCTATTCACTGTGCCACCTAGCTGCCCCCTTCCCTCTATTTCTAATCAGAATAAATCTAATCCTTCTTCTGTGTGCCAGCTGCTCAAAAACTTGAAGACAGTTTGTGCTTCTCTTCCTGTTCTCCATTCTCCTTGCTCTCTTCTGGACACATTCTCCAGCTGATTAACATCCTCCTTAAAATGTGGCACCCCAAACTGAATTCAGTGGCCCAGATGCAGTCTGATCAGAGTAGAATGTCTATCATAGTATTATTACTGAATACTATGTTTTTCTCAAACAACCAATTAAGCCTTTACCAGTCATTGTGCTTGTTCCTGGGTATACAAAAACAAAGAATGAAATGATCTCAAAACTCAAGGAGTTTGCACCGTAACAGGGGAGAAAAGTACATCTATAATTATACATAAAAAAGTACAAATGAAAACAAATTGACATAATACATGGTAGTTTGGGAAAGAGGGCCCTAGCAGTTGGGGCAGTATAGGAAAGATTTCATGAAGAAAGTTGTTCTTTGTTGCTTGAAAGCAGAAGGTGCTTCTATGAAGCAGGGATGAGGAAGGAGGAGTGTACCCATTGAAAAGGTATGGAGACAGGAGCTGTAGGGTTGTGTATGAGGACAAGGGAGAAAGGCAGTTAGGCCGGAATGTAAAATATAGAAAGTGAAAGAAATGGACAGAGAGGTTGGCAGGTTGGAGCCAAGTTTTAAATGACTCTTTAAAAGCTGAACAAAGAAGTTTATATATTGTCCTCAAGGCAATAGGGAGCCACTGGAATTTATTGAGTAGGAGAATGATATCACCAGATCTAGCTAATAGAAAATAACTTAGACCGCAGTGTGGATGATGGACTGGAATCCATCTCCAAGATCATGTTAGATTTCTTGACCACACCACTGATTCATTATTAACTTTGAAGTTTGCTAAAATTCATTGATTTTTTTCTAACAAAATGCTGCACAGCCGTGCTTTTCCTGTCTTGTACTTGTGAAGTTGATTTTTTTAGCCTAAATGTGAAGCTTCACATCTATTCTCTATTATATTTCATTCCTTCTTTTGGCCAATTTCCTTTCAGTCCAAAATTTTCTGAATCCTGATTATCCAGTGAAATAGTTATCCATCCCAAATTAGTGCTCTCTGTACAAATGTAATGATACCATTTAATCATTTTTCCAAATCATGGATAAAAATGTTAAATGTCACAATACCAGATCTTTGCAGTGCCCTGGAGACCTTTCCAATTAATATGAACCCATTAATGATGATATTCTGGTTCTGGCCATTCAGCCATTTAAAATATCCACATATTTGTACTATCATCTATCTCATATCTATTTACTTTTCCCACAGACCTTATCAAATTCTGGCTGAAATCTAAACAAACGTTATTACAGCAGAGGTGTCAAACACATAGCCTATAGACCATGTTGCCATATTCCCAAATGTACCCAAATCAGATTAAAATGTAATTGGGAAATTTGTAACCAAATAAAAAAAATACAATAGAACATTTATTCAATCATTTCAGATCCTTTGTGACCTCATTTTGGGTTTTGTTGGCAAAGATACTGGAGTGGTTTGCATTTCATTCTCTAGTGGATTCATTTTGTTAGGCAATCAGGTTAAGTAACTTGCCCAGGGTCACACAGCTAGGAAGTATCTGAAGCTGGAGTTGAACTCGGGTCTTCCTAACTCCAGGCTTAGTATTCTATTCATTGAACTACAGCTGCCTAATAATAGAACATAGATTATGTTAGTATGTGGTTTTTTAAGTCAATTCCCAGCCTATAGAAAGCCTTATATGTGGTTTAATGGCCCTGTTTCTGTTTGTCTGGTCTATGGTATTTTCCTGATCATCCTGTTTAGTAACCACATGGGAAAAGAAAATAAGCAGATTGGGGCACAATCATGTTCTTGATGAAGCTACAATGGATCATTTTTAATGTCTTTTCTACGTTTTTACTAATCATGCCTTTAATAATACATCATAGAATTTTGCCAAGAATCAAATTAAGTTCACTAACCTATTAGCATACATTCTCTTACCTCTGGTAAAAATGGAGCCAAATCTGCCTTTTTCTAATTACAAAGGTACCTCTCTCATTCTTCATGATGTTTCAAAGAAAACAATAATGGGTCAGTTTCTATTAATTTTATCAGCCCTTTTGTTGCCCTAGGATATAATTCAGCTGGTCCTGGTAACTTGAACTCCTCAAAGTAAACTTACTCTCTTACACTCTCCTTCCCAACAAAGCCAACCAAGAAGGAAGATAATGAGGAGAGTATGGTATGGCAGAAGTCATGAGAAGAGAGAGGATTGAGAATTGAGGGGTGCCAAATGCTATAGAAAAAGGTCAGTGAGGATGAGGCCACCAAAAAACAAGCAACTGGATTGTGCAATTTGGAGGTCATTAGAAAGCTTGGAGAGACTTTCAGTAGAGTGTAGGCCTAGTAGCCCGCCTGAAGATTTTGAGGAATGAGTATAGACAGGTGCAGTGGAAAGATGAATGCTGATAAGAAATGAAAATTCCTCTCTACCCTTAACGATATTGTCAAGACTACGAACTTTGATCTTAATTTGGGTTTTGTTATTGAAATAGTTACAGACAAAATGACATAAAGTATATTTTTATTACCTACATAAAAAGTGCTAAAGCATGTATCACCATAATGTGAAGCAGCCATTGGCCTGATTAGTTAAGAAAGAAAAGAAAATAGTCTCTAGACAGTCTCTCTTTTAACAATTACCCTAAAGTGTCACTAACTTGGATGGTCCCGGATTATGAAGGGATGTGCTTAAAAACTGACTTCTATGCCATGATTTTATGGAAATGTGTGGGTGATGGGAGTAGGAAAAGCAGTGGTGAGGGAATATGTTTTGATCACATTTTCAAGTGTTTAAGACAAACTTATGCTTCCTTTTTTCCAATTCTGCTTGGCAGATGACCAAGCACCCTCACTAAAGTAGAAAGGGAAAAGGCAAAAGAGAGATATTATCCTAAAGCAGTTCCAACTTGGCAACATTATATGTGGTCATAGAAGTGTGAAGTGACAAATGTGTCATTGTTTCTTAAAACCCAGAAATTTTTAAAAAATTCTTCCAGACCCTTCTGACAGCAGGCATTCTGGTATACTGGAAAAGAGCCTCAGGCTCAGAGCCAGAAGGCTTGGGTTTACATGTCAGTTCTGTCACTTGCTAGTTGGGAGGCTATCAGAAAGTCACTTAAACTCTCTGAGTCTCAGTCTCATTCATTAGGTGGGAAAAGTAATAATTGCATGACCTTTCTAGTTTTCTAATATGTTACTACTCTTCATGCACTCTACAATTTAGCTACACAGGTCTACCTGTTCTTCAAATATGACAGCCCATCTCCCAACTGTATATTTGCCCTGAAAATTCCCCCACCCCACCCCAGGGTGCTCCCCTTTCATAATTTCTTTCTAATTTCCCTGGCTTCCTTCAAAACTCAACTTAAATCACATCTTCTGCAGGAGGGTTTTACCATTCCTCCCTTCTTCCCAGTGCCTTCTCATTGGAGGTTCCCTTCCATTTACACTATCTTTTACATGTATGGTTATTTGTTTCTTCCACTAGAAGATGAGCTTCCTTAAAAGAGGTACTGTGTTTTTCCCCTTCTTGGTATTCACAGTGCTTAAGCACAGTGTCTGACACATAGTAATCACTTCTTCATACTTGTTGACTTACTGACTGGCAAGATTTTGATATTGGGATGAATGAGAGTGAGGGATCAAGGACAACACTGAAGTTTAAGAGCCTGGTTGAGGGTGATAGTGTTATTGACAATCATAGGGAATAGCTACTGGAGTTGTTGAATGGAATAGTGAGGCATTTACTGGTAGACTGTGAGGAAACATTTCCATTAGACACTTTTTCCATTGGTAAGGGTAGGGTGGTGATGGAGATGGGGAACAGAACAAGGTGCCCTCCTGTCTCTCTTTTAGGAGCTGTTATTTGAAAAGTGTTTTTAAGTGGTAATGCATTATGTAAATGAGCTATTATTACTAGAAAACAATTTCTTTCCTTTTATCTTTGAATGTTCAGCATAAACACCAAAGATAAATGGGTATAAAAACCATTATACAACATGAGTTTATGTCTAGGTGTGCCCAAAGGCAATTACAGATGAGTGTAGTAATAGAATGAATGCAAGGAGAAACTTTGATACTGAATGATTCAACTGTACCAATCTTCAAAATAATTGGCAGTCCTCAGTCCTCAGGAACATCCAATAATATACAGTTGACTTGAAGAAAATGACTATGTGTCCCTTAAACCAAGTAAAGAACTAGGGTGATTCTGTTCATGAATGGAAGTGGGGAGAGAAAGTCAAGGTACTTTTGTATTTTGCAGAAAGTCTGAAAGGGCAAAGAGTGACTAAATAATCCTCCAAATCCTCCTCAACATAAATGGAAATGGGAATAAAGAAATATCCTCAGACTGAATCAACAATTCTGTAATAGACAAATGGTCAAAGGCTATGAGCAAGTACTTTCCAAAGGAAGAAATCCAAGCTATCAATAACCATAATTAAAAAGTACTCCCAGACAAATGAGTAATCAGATGAATGAGAAGTAAAGAACCTGTGAGGTTCCACCTTACAACCACCAGATTGGCAAAGATTACACAAATGACAAGGTGTGGAGGGACTGAAGGAAAACAGACATACAATGGCATCATTGGTGGTGCTTTGAATTGGTCCAGGCATTCTGAAAAGACATTGGAACTATGCCCCCAAAGTCCATAAACCATGCATACTCTTTGATCCAGCAGGGCCACTGGCCTCTATGAAGACTGAAGATGAAGCATGTTACACACCTCCTGATAGAGAGGGGATGGATTCAAAATTGAGATTGAGCCATACATTTTTGGATATGGCCAGTGCTTAACTATGTAAATTTGTTACAAAGGTTTTAGTTTTCTTTTTGTTGTTATTTTTCAATTGAAAGGGTAGAATGGGAAAGAGAGAAAAATAGAATTTGCTAATTCAAAATTAATTTTTTTTTTTAGGCAGTTGGGGTTAAGTGACTTGCCCAGGGTCACACAGCTAGTAAGTGTCCAGTGTTTGGTCTGAGGCTGGATTTTAACTCAGGTCCTCCTGACTTCAGGGCCAGTGCTCTATCCACTGCGCCACCTAGGTGCCCCAAAAAATTATTTTTTAAAGACTGAATTAACATATTTCTCTTGTTCATCTCTACAGAAGTTACAGCCACTCTTGGAGCAGTATTTCAGCCAGTTCCATTTACCTTTGGGAGGGTCCTGCTGAAACACCAGAGATGAAATCAAATTCCCCCAGACACCAGAAGTCTGAAATATGAGATAGAAGGTGCCAAAATACTGGTTGATGACATCTTTCCCAAGTTTTCCTGTCTTCTTTGCATAAATATTTCCACTCGTTGTAAGGTAAGTAGACTCTGCAGACCACAGTGGGGCTGCTCCTAGACCTAAGATTATGGCAGTAGGGATCAAGGTAAACCTACAAAAAGATAATCTGTTAGCCAACATAAACACTTCCTGTTGAGAGAAATGAAGTAGCTCAGCTCTGCCTTGTTTAAACTCCCAAGAGGCATCTCCCCAGGATAAGCTGATTATTTGAAATATCACCATACCAACTGAGCCTTGAATATGTAACACCTTCCCAATTTCCTCAGCCTCCTCTCCCCTCTGCTTGGAAGGCTGGAGGGTAGAGGAAGCGCTAGACTTCTCCCTAATCCTCTCTTTATACTACAGTAGGCACAATAAGGACTTTCTGGCTCACCTTGCACTTCTAATTTCCAGCTCATCTTGGTTTGACCTCCATACAACAAGATGCCCCTGTGCCAGGTACCCCTTGGAATTCCTGTCCTGCCTTTTCCAGCTACTTTTTGTGTGTTGTCTTCTACCATAAGATGATAAGCTCCTCAAGGGCGAGGAATGTCTTTCATTTTCTCATTTGTATCCCCAGTGCTTAATACAGTGCCTGACATACAGTAGGTGCTTTAAATTTTTTTTTAATAATTGAATTGAATAGAAAGACAAACTATTCACCATTGCACTTAAAGAAATGAGTAAGCAACATACTTTTGAGCTGAGGTACATGTGCAGAGAAGGCACTAAGTGCCAATGAACTCTGGCATTGAAAAGTTCAGTAGATGTTTGCTAGGTTTTCTCAAACAAATTAAAGGTGCTGAAATAATGTGAAAGCCTGGGCCTCCTCAACTGGAATGCTGTGTGATGCTGTTAAGAGTAGAAGGAGGAAGGATACTATTACACAACTGATCTTTTCTGGCATCCTCCATTGCTGAGATCTCTAAATACCTGATCTATACCCAGTGAGCAGTAGAATGCAATTGGCTAGGTCAGGGCTTTTGATAGGAGTTAGAAGACAAGACATACCAGCTGGCATAGAAGTTTCCCAAAGAGAAAGTGATGTAGCAGCACATGGAGAATGTAATGGTCCACTTGCAGCCAAATTTCTTAATAAGAACCGGAGGAAGGAACATGGAAGACAAAATCACGGATGCGTAGATAACACTAAGTGTAGTCACCCCGAGTCCTTCCTCCTTATTAAGGCTGCTCTGTGAAAACAAAACAAACAAAAACAGATAGTTACACAGATTCAAGAGGGGGCAAGAGAAAAGAGGGTTCTGTTATTTGGAGTTTTTCCTAAAATTTTTTGAAAAATCATATAAAATCTTTCCCTCTCTCTTTTTTAACAAATAAATAAATTTTTCACTTTACATGCATTTGGAATCTATCTCTCCCATTGTCTCCCCCACCCCTAACTGAGCAAAGAAAAACCTGATAATAAACATAGTTTCGACAAAACAAATTCCCACATTGGCCATCACCAAAAATTAATGTGTCTCTTTCTGCATTTTAAATTCATCAGCTCTCTGGCAAGAGGTAAGTGGTGTGACAATTGCCATCTCTCCAGTTCCATGTGGTTGTCCGAAAAAAATTACCTACCAGAATTGTATATCATCAATTTTTGTAGTAGCAAAGAATTTAAAACAAAGTATATGCTGATCTATAGGATTATATTAATTGTGGTACATAAATGAAATGGAATATTACTCCTCTGTAAAAAAATAAAATAAATAAAAAATAAGAAAACAAAGAACAATGAGAAGACATATGACCTGATGCAAAGCAAATTGAACAGAACCAAGAAAACATATGAAAAATGTCTACAAAAATATAAGTGTAAAGAACAACAAAAATAAAAACAGAATGCTATAAAATTACCATCACTAGGTTTAGCTTAGAAAAAGAAGAGGTACAAGAATGCACTTCTTCCTCTTCCCTGTGGATGTAGGAGACCACATATGATATCTCACTTGGTTGACAGAGGAGAGAGATGTATTTGGAAATTAAAGTGTTGTAGAATGCAATACAACATTTTAAAAAATCTGTTTAGGGAAGGGAGCAGAGAAAGACTATGGAAACTACAGAGGTAACATAAACTACAATTCCTTTATAAAAGGAGTGGATATTCTGGTTGTACACCAATGTAACTATAACTTGATGGTAGGTACAGTGAAAGGGCTACAGAGAATTATATGTATAAGAAAAAATGAAATCCAACATAGTTTTTTTCCCCTCTTTTTTGACTCAAATCTCAAGAATAAAAATTATGCCTGATGAGATGTTTTGAAATCCCACCTAGAGAACAGATAGTCACGTCAGAATTTTCTCTACACAGATTCTAAATGAGAAAATAGATTTGGCAAGAGGCAAACAACACTTTTCTCTTGAACTCAAAGCAGACAGAGAGGAGCTCTCGTGCCTCTGAAGTGAAATGAGAATATCCAGATCCAGGTTTTAGTTTTCAAAGCAAAACTATCACCAATGAGCAAGGTTAGGAATAGACTTAGCACATGGCAAACAGAAAATAGCAAAGAAATCTAAAGTAATAATCAGTGATTTATTGAACATAAATAAAAGATCACAATGTCCTTCTAAATCTTGTCCTTTGTAGCATATTTCTATACTAATCTTCCCTTAGCTTAAAAATCAGGCCTTCGTATCTTGCCTTAACTTCCTCTCCTCTCACTGGCTTCTAAACTTGCTGAATAGCCAGGCTGCTGAGTTCATTCCTCAACCAAAACTGCCCTCTCCAGAAATAGGAGTGATCTCTTAATGACCAGACCTACTGGTCTTTTCCCAGTCCTCATCCTTCTTGACTTCTCTGAAGCATGTGAAATTGTGGATTGCTTTCTCTTCTTGTATGCTCCCCTGAGTTGTTGTGACGATGCTCTTTCTTGGTTTCTTTACCTTGCCTATTAGACTGCTCTTCCTCAGTGTTCTCTGCTGTATCATCATCCACGTCCTGCCCACTCACTGTAGGTATACACCTAGGCTCTATTCTTGGCCTTTCCTCTTTTCTTTCTTTATTGTCTCATTTAAGACCTAAAATTTAGAAAATCACTTTGATATCTGAATGGAGGTTGGATTGAAGTTGGGAGAGACTTAAGGCAAGGAAAATAAACAGGAGGCTATTGCAATGGTCTAATCAATTAGTGATAAGGACCTGACCTAGAGTGGTTCAGTTATGGCCTCTAAGTATTACTCCACTATCCAAGTATCTTTGTTTCCTGAGCTTCAGTCACAGCTCTCCAACTGCCAATTGGACATATCCAAATGATTATCTTATAAACATTTCAAACTCATATCCAAACCAGAAGTCATCTTTTCCCAAAAGTTCATCCTAAATTTCCCTATTTTGTCAATGACTCCACTATCTTTCCAGTCATCCAGTATCATGACTTCAGTACCATCTTTGCCTCCTCACTTGCACTCATCTCATATACATATCCAATCAGTTGCCAAATTATCTGGTTTCTTCTTCCAAAATATCTCTCACTCACATCTATCTCCTTTTTTCTACTCACACTATGACCACTCTAGGTCAGGTCCTTATCACTAATTGATTAGACCATTGCAATAGCCTCCTGTTTATTTTCCTTGCCTTAAGTCTCTCCCAACTTCAATCCAACCTCCATTCAGATATCAAAGTGATTTTCTAAATTTTAGGTCTGACCATTTCACACACACACACACACACACACACACACACACACACACACACACTCCCCTAATCATCTCTAAAATAAAGTATGAACTCATATTTGATATTTAATGCTCTTCCCAGTCTGGTCCTATCTGACCACTCCAGTCTTAATACATATTTCTCCCCTCCGCATACTCTATAGACACTTCAGTCATACTGGCCTTATTACTTATATGGCACCTTATCTCTGTGACCTTTGCAATGACTCTCCTCCATCCCAGAATGATCTCCCTCCTCTCCTCCATCTCTTCGAATCCCAGCCTTTCTTCAAGATGGATCAAGCATGTCTATCCATATGAGTTGATTCCCAGTCCACATCCCCAATTTGCTAGTACCTCTCCTACTAAGGTTACCTTGTATCTGCTGTGTGTTGTGTATCTACCCTACATATGTGTATGTTGTCCTTGCTATTAGAATATAAGATCCTTGAAGGCAGGAACTAGTATATTTTTGTTTTTATATCTCAAGTGCCTAACCCAGTGCCTGACACACAATTGTACTAAATACCTATTGACTGATTAAGTAAAATGGTTAGCTATTTCATACTGTTTTTTAATAAAGTTATATTTTTATGGAAAAGAATCAATATTCACTGACTCATGTACTAAACATTCTGGTATTCCAGCTAGCCTTGCTTAAGGTAAAGCTCAACCATAAGGTTCATGCTATCCTAACAAGCACCATCATCTTCATCTAATTTTAAACCAATTAAAATGTGAGGGCCTTCTAGGACATTGAGGATAGAAGAGGAATTAAGACCTGGCCTCAAACCTTGATAACCAGGCTTAGTGCCTTACGTGAACTAACTCACCCCTAAAGGGTGTATTCTAAACTTTTCACCCTATTAAGTTCAGGCAAACATCAAATCTAGCTTTATACTGACTTTGTGATGGATGGGAAAGTGATATGAGGAAGAAAGCTGTGTGGACAATGATAGGATTGTTAGACAACACCTTGCTGGATCTGTCTCACTCCTCATGATGAAGAGGATGATGAAGTTCAGGAGTTGGGTTGTCTGGAAAGAATTTAAGAGGCAGATATGCTGCTAGTGAAGAGAGCTTTACTGATGCAATAGCAGAGGGATGGGGGGTGGAAGCAATGATGGGGGTGATCATAACAGTTTGCAGGAAGACAGGGTTTGTTTTTGTACACAATTTTTGGGCATTCAGCCAAGAGTAGAGTATGCTCCTACGGGAGTAGGGAAAAGGGGAGGCAGGAAAAGGAAGCAGGTGTGCTGAAAAACTGTTCAAGGATGTGATCACGGAACAAGGAACTTAGCTTGCTCCAGTATAGGGGATTATACATGTACACAGAGTATGGGCTTAGGAAGCAAGATTTTTGTTGACTGATAGAGCTTCCTGTTACAGGGCAGATTTAGACGAGGCCCTCATAGTTGCTGGGCAAAAGTCAGCCTCATCAATATTCTCCCATTCATACTTTTTTGAGAGGGCTGTGATATCAGAGTAATGCACCAGAATTTCAGGGCTCAAGTAAAATTTGTTGTTTGTTGTTTCATTCAGCCCTGGCCTACTCTTCATGACCCCATGGACCACAGCATGCCGCTACTCTCCATAGGGGTTTTCTTGGCAAAGATACTGGAGGGATTTGCCATTTTCTTCTTCAGTGGATTAAGGAAAACAGCAGTTAAGTGACTTGCCCAAAGCCACACAGCTAGTAAATGTCTGAGGCCAAATTTGAACTCAGATCTTCCTGACTCCATGCCCAGCACTGTATCCACAAGCCACCTCACTGCCTCCATAAATTAACTTGCCAGTGGCAAAAGGAGAATTGTTTACTATGCCCTGACCATACAATCAGATAATTATAAAAGTATCCTTTTTCCCCAATCCAATTACCACATTAAAAGAGCTTTTAAGAGCTCAACAAAAATCATGCTGGGAATCCATAGTTTAAACTTAATTTGTGTGGATACTCACTTTGTTATCTATTTCTTTCTTCTTAAAACTGTCCTCTGGTTTAGTTTTTGAGATATCACAATCTTTAGGTTTTCCTTTTACCTTTCCAAGCTTTCTTTATAAGTTTTCTTTATTTGTTCTAATAACTCAATGTGCCCACTTCTCTATAGAACTTTTCCATGATGCTATTCTTGACCTTTGGGTTTTCACTCTTTGTAGACAATTCCTCTGAGAGTTCAAGCACTCTTGTGACTTTATTTCTACTCTGTGTGGCTCATAACTCCTCATGGACAGTTCTATATTTCCTTCTAGCTATAACACTTTGATATGCCATTATTTTAACTTAAAGATGTCCAAGATCGATCTCATCATTTTCTCCAAAATTGACTTCACTTCTCTATCATTATCCCAGGCAATCAGTCAGCTGTGTCTCCTTCCTTTTGCTCTCCTTCCATGTTCAGTTAGTCACTAAGTCCTGTCAATTTTTCCTCCATATTATCTCTCCAATCTCTCTTGCCTTTCAAGCCAGCATCTGGCTAAATACCTTATCATCTTACAGCAAAGCTACTGTAATAAGCTTCTATTATTC